CCCCTGAGAAAGGGGAGGGGCTTGGCGAGCCCATCTTGTCATGTACCATCAATAAAGTACACTGTACTCAGAAAAAAAAAAAGCAAACAATTCCATGATGCATGACAGTGATTGTATGAAACCCAGTGTGAATGAAGGATAGTGTGAAACATAATGTACATGAACTTTGTAAGCAAACCAATGACAAACAAAACAAAAAGTCCTTCTCCAGCAGGGTAAAAAGGAAGGCACAGGCTGAGGAAAACTATTTGGCAATGACATATCTGATAAGGAACTCATATCTAAAATTTATAGAATATTCAAGCATCTCAACAAGAAAAAGGCAAACAACCTAATCACAAAAGGGATTGTTGCCCTAAAGAGGAAATGCAGATGACCAACAAACACATGAAAATATGTTCAAAATCTCTAGTTATTATTGTTGTTATGTGTCACCGAGTCACTGGCTACTCATAGTGACCCTAGGTACAATAGCTCTGAATTCTGCTCTCTCCTGAGCCAATCTCACTGTCTCTGACACACCTACCCCAGTTACTGTGTCCATCCATCCATCTCATCTGAGATGTTCCTCTCCAGCACCACAATTCAAAGACATTGATTCTTTTTCTATCATCCTTTTCCATTGTCCAGATCTCTGATGCCTAGCAAGTAATTGTGAAGACCATGACTTGGATCAGGTGCACCTTAGTTTCCAGACTGGCATTGTTGCTGCTAAGTACTCTGGAGAGGTCCCTGACAGTAGACTTTTCCAATGCAATTCATCTTTTGATTTTCTGGCTACTGGTACTGAGAGAGTGTTGATTGTGGAGCCAAGCAAACTAAAGCTGTTAACAATCTCAATCTCTTCTTCTCCACCTATCATGATGCTGCTAATTGGCCCATGGGTGAGAATGTTTGGTTTTTTTTATGTTGAGCTTCAAACCATATTGCAGACTACCATCCTTGACCTTCTGCAGCAAATACTTCATAGTTGTTTTGATTTGCATCTAGTTATTAGAGAGATGCAAATCAAAACAATGTGAGATATCATCTCATTCCAGCAACAATTGCAGAGTTCAACAGGGCGGCAAACAATAAATGCTGGCAAGGATGTAGAGAGATTAGAGCTCTCATTCATTGCTGGTCAGAGTTTAAAATGGTACAGCCACTATTGAAGGTGGTCTGTAGCATTCTCAAAAAGTCGGAGTTAGACATACCATTTGACCCTGTTTTCCCAGAATCAGGTGAGAACAGGCTCTGGAGTGAGAGTGGGGACAGTGAGCCCCCTCTGTGAGGCTCCCCTTTACAGTGCCCCTCACCACCAGGCCAGGGACAGCTCCTCCCCATGTCCCTTCCCCACTGTGTGTCCTGCCCTTGCCGCTGTTTGGATGTTGGAAGAGGTGGGGCTTTCAGTAGCATGGACTGCAGTGCAGTGGGAGTCGGTTTCAGTTTCCCCCTGAAGATTGGAATGGGACAAGAGTCCAGGTTTGTGGAGAGGCAGCATGGCCGTGCCTGGTTTTCAGGTTCCTTGGTTCCACCGGGCCCTCTTCTGGTCTGGAAGGTGTGCATTCTATTTTTAGTCAAAATGTCACCATGCATTCTTGGAAAGAGGCTTGGGTTAATCAATAGCTCTCCCTCCTCCTGCGAGCACCTTTATCCTAGATCTCATGTGTTGGTGGGACCTGGAGGTAAGCCTCTTGCTTTGAAATTTTGCAGTTATTTTATCCAGTTGGTGCTGGTTTACTTCACTGTGTTTACCATTTCCTTTGTCACCATTCTTTTGCCACCTCCCTTTTTCTATGTAGGGGAGCTCTGTTGGCTTAGTGGTAAGGAGTTGTGCTGCCAACCCAAAGGCAGGATGTTCAAATCCTTCAGCTGCTCCTTGGGAGAACAGTGCACAGTCTCCTCTGATAGATTTACAACCTCTGTAAACACCCTGGAGGGGCAGCTATGAGTAGATTCTGACCCCACAGCAATGTGTTTTGCATACAGATATTTTAAACACCTTCAGAATGGTTTCATCTGGGGAAACACAATATTCTTGTCTGAAAATGTCTTTATTTTAACCCTTATTCTGAAAGTAAAATTGTACTGAGTGTAGAGGTCGGGATTGGCAGTGGTCCCGCCAGCACTTCGACAATACTGTACCCACTTTTCCCTCTCCTGTTCGGGAGGACACTTAGCAGCTTCTTTGTCCTTTGTTTGTAATCTGTGTTTTCTCTGTGGTGGTTTAAAGAACTTTTCTTGGTCTTTGGCATTCTGCAGTTTGACCCAGTATATAGATATGGGTTTCTGCTGATTTCTCCTGTTTGAGACAGGGTTTTCAAGC